GCGGAAGCGTCCTATTCAAACAATCAGCAGCAGCAGCAGCACAAGCCGGGGAATTTTTCAATGTTTTTTTTTTCCTCTCTTCTAGCTGATGACGATGGATAGCACCCCTGCCCCCTTTGATGATAGCACCCCCCCCTCACGGGTGACGATGGATACCACCCCCCTCGCTAGCTGATGATGGACACCACCCCCCCCTCTAGCGAATGATGATGGATACCACCCCCCTCTCTAGCTGGTGATGATGGACCGCCCCCCGTTCTCCTGTAACAGACGCACGAGCCTACTGCAGGTACTTTTGTGCAACCACCACAAAAAACTATTCCACCTCCAACTCCAGTAAATTAAAACAAACCACACATATATACATCTAGTCTGTTTTGAAAAATGCACACAAATATACAGCAGTGCCGGAATACATCTGCCCAGAGGTTTGACGGGCACCATGTACACCGGACACAACAGGGACGTCAGGTTTTGTGCCGATATTTATACATTTGGCCGGCACTAGGCCGGAACACCTACTGTATGTAGTTTTTTAAAAAGTCACGTAGTAGCTATTTTTGTTTCTCCCAAACAAAGCTATTTTTCCCGTCGTTATTTGCAATATGTAGAAACACACAGCAGTGTGTGTCCGCNAAAACGAAGCTCCCCTACCTACCATACCCACAACAATTTGGTGATGTACTTGTATTTTTGCCGGTACAGTACGATGACCAATCGTAGTTGAATCATGCACCTGCATACGGAGTCTTTCGCGCTTTCAAATGGGCTTCTGGCAAACATGTTCGGTGTCCTGTCGAAATGAAGCCCTCTGATTCGGAGGCTAACACAAGCTTGCTCTCCCCCCCAAGAGCAGTGCTAGATGCGCTATGCTATTGTACTTTTGAATGTGTCCACATAGAGTATCGTGTTACGCCATGGCGGCAGTCCATGCGTTGAGGAATGGTTGCTACAACAAGCACGCTTAGTTGTATCTTCGGGCAGCGGCACACCAGCCGGAACTACATCAGAAGAGTCGCACCTTACAGTAGGGGACAAATCTATACAAAGCCGTGGTTTGCACCTTCACTCTTATACGAGACCGTCAACACAGTTGGCATCGAAGCGTGAGGGTTTCGCCCTAGCTCCCCACCCCATTATCTCCAGCATTGCAGCTAGCTGTGAACACCACATCTAGACCCACACCTAAACAACTATAAGCCGAAGGCCGGCCATCGTTAGGCCTCCACACCAGCATTTGTTGTTGACCGTGCCGAATCGCTGCCCTCGAAAAACTTCGCTGGTCTGTGTGGCGCCAAGAGACATGTGGGCGTTGGGGCATTATTGTTATTGATGCTGGGAATCTGACTGTGGTGCCGTTGTTCGCAATGCGCAAGCACCTCATTTTACGGTTCATACTCCCAAAGTTCATACAGGAATGTGTAAGATCGCTTCGCTAAAGTTTTTCACGCACCACCTACCCCAGTGCAACCAACAAGCATCCACTAGAACAACAACAACGACATCAGCAACAACATCAACTGCTGCTCAGAGGCGCACTTCGAAATTCCATGCCTCCAACATGTCTGTACCTTTCTCCTATTTCGTCCAGCCCAGCCATGTACATTCATCTGTATCTTTTTCGTAAGACGGACCATCAGCAACTATCATGTCGTATACGAACTCTCCTATTCATACGGTACGATCAACACAAAGCAGAGGTCTCCTCCCCACTCCGGAAGCTAATGTGAAAAACCTCACCATGGCTTCGACATTTGCAAGAATCGGTCGGAAAACGAGCAGCATGATGGGCTGCAGTGTCCACTAGTCGCTCCCAGTGAGAGACGAGTAGTTGGACACGATATCCTTGAGACGCTCCGTGCCAGCTGGGTATAACAGAGAAAGGTTTTGAGCTACGACCGCCGAGACCAGCCGCCGACCCTGAGTTGACAACATCTCGAGGCAGGAAACTTGGCACAGCTGGCAGGACCCCTGCAAAACAAAAATAACACACACGGTTCGTGCGTTCGTTGTATTTATCGTTTGAAAGAGACACGATCAACCGTGTCGCCGTTGGAGGCCCAGCTACTCGAGGGAGACACGACACAACGCCCTGGCAACAAACACCCGGCGATTCCTAAATCAATCGCGAACGGACATTGGGGTATTAAACGAGGTTATCTAATTCCGGCACGGAAAACATTGCGCTACCCTTGTCCGTTTCGCATTCGATATATAACTCTCACCAGGGCATCGAAGTGCAGCCGCTCCACAGGGACAACCGCGGCGGGGGCGGTGAGCATTGAGTCGTGCATCGGCAGGGAGGGGCCGTTGGTGTCTGTGATAAGCCCCAGTACCATCGATTGTCGAGACTGCTCGACGGGTTTGTCTGCGAGGGACTTGAGCGTATCGAACCCGGCCGTGTCCCCAGGTACGTCGATTTGCTTCGATGTCGTACTGGGCATCTCCCAGGTCCCCCCCGGTAATGTTGTCGCGTTGCTCAACCATGCAGTACGGACACGGGAACCTCGAGAAGTTGTTGCATGCTTTCGATCAGAGAACTTTAGCCCGACCTGGCCCGTCCCCGACCCACAGGAGCAGACCCTCCCGCACAAACACCTGTCGTGAAGGTAGGGCGTTAGTAGTGTGAACGCCAGGTATTCGTGGACTGCGACACATAAAATTCGGTCCCTTGTAAACCACCCAGTCATACTTCGCACGTCATGACCCGTTGGCATCAAAACAATTGTTGATCATCCATCGGCGGGAAAAATATGTTTTTGGGTAAAGGAACGGTCCGGAATGTTTTGGAGGCAGGGGGTATGGATCCTCCACAGGAAGGAAGCTCGATTCCTGTTAATTGATACTTCATGTTCCGGTCAAATCGTCTGCTACCTGCGACCACACCTCCTCAGACAGCAACTAGAAAGGGCCGGCGAAGCACACCCAGCAACAGGACGTGGCGATGGCGTCTGTCTGCCTCCTTCGTCTCTCACCGGAGTCGAGAGTCCTTGTTTGGATAAACTAATAACACATAAAACAGCATGTTGGTGAAATTGAGAGCGAAGTATCTGATTGAGAGCGAGATTGCGCGATGCGCTGCAGCTGGACTACTGCTGAGAGGTGGGGCTTGCTGTGTAGTATGAATTGAAGGGCCAGCCCGTAGCTTCAAGCAGATACCCTGGTCATCCTGTGGGAGTCTCTCGATGTGGAGTTACAGCGGCGAGCAGAAGCTACAGCAGAGCCCACCGCCCGAGGCCAAACCGCCCTGCAACAGTTTGAGGCAGGAATAGCCAATCTGGGGAAATCTAGCAACTTGTCTAGCTCCTAGCTGCAGCATCCGTTGACGACGACACGCATATGCTCGTGACGCTGCTGATGAGACCTTCAATTTGCGCCGCTTCTTGGAAGAGCCCGCCCCGTACTTCCCAAGAAACGGCAAGAGGCGTCTGGACCCGAATTTTAATTTTTTTGGCTCTCGCTCTCAATTTCATGCTTCGCTCTCAATTTCACCAATATGTTGTTAATAACAATACCCACGAGAGCCAGGCATTCCGAAGCAACAGCGTTCGCAGGAAACGCAAAATACATCTGCAGATCAAGAGGAACACTTTTGACTCCTGGGCAACACCCACGCGTTCCCGTACACCCCGAGCAATGGATAGCCCCATTACAAGTAGCGGGTTGCAACAGTAGGATGTCTGCGGCAAAGACGCCGCTAGCGTGCAAGCATCACACATACTGGCGCATCACCGGAAAAACCCATACGAAAAAAAAGAGAATCACTCCCCGCATATGACATCAGGGAANAGAGGAACACTTTTGACTCCTGGGCAACACCCACGCGTTCCCGTACACCCCGAGCAATGGATAGCCCCATTACAAGTAGCGGGTTGCAACAGTAGGATGTCTGCGGCAAAGACGCCGCTAGCGTGCAAGCATCACACATACTGGCGCATCACCGGAAAAACCCATACGAAAAAAAAGAGAATCACTCCCCGCATATGACATCAGGGAAACATCTGTCTGCGGTTTATGCGGAAACCGGTACTACACCAACCATGACAATATCGGCCACATCCTCTAGCGTCGTCCCCGCGAGCAAGTCACCAACTCTCGACTGGGAACCTCGTGGGCCATTCTTGTATTTGGGAGCGGGTGGGGCGGTACTCTTGCAGGGAATATAATGGCAGCACAAGGTACATGTTCGGCACAAGATGATGTCCGGCACAAGATGCCAAAGAAGAGGTTTTAGGGTACGAGATCAATTATCTACGGACACTAAACCGTGGAAGAGCTGTGCGAACACACATGTGTAGGAAACCGATAGCGGGGAGCGTCTAAAAAATTACGAGTAACGGCGGTGCTCCGTCTCGCACGGGATGTAAATCAAAGGTAAACGATTGAAAAAAAGGCACTTAGCTTGGTATTACCCCCCCC